ATATTAATTTAGGAGCAAATGTAATGTGGACATTCCAATCAGAACACAGTGGTCATAAAAGCTGTAAAGGCTTTTGTATAAAAGTCTGCACATGAGATTCAGTAATTATCAGAATATAACACAAAATTAGTTTTAAAAAATGTCAAGTTTTACAGGAGAACAAGACTAAAAATGATGCATGCAGTAACAAATGGGGCACTTAAGAACTACCATCTTTATTCTGAATAATTTGAGATTGATCACAGTTACTTTAGCACCATGAAAAACATTAGACATTCATTTCTTACCCTTCTAACAAAGCAGAACTTTAAAGAATGGAGTTAAGGCTAGCAAAACATATATCCTTTAATATCAAAAACAACATACAAAATATGATGTCTATAAAGATACTTAAACGTGTCAGTGTTATCAATATTAGCACGTATTTTAGTATAAAATCACTGTAATTTAGCATATGCAGTTCTGAAACTTTAAAAGTGTTGACAATATATATATATAAAAAAGACTAAAAGGCATACTGAAAATGTGCCAGAGTTTACATGACTAGAAACTCACTGGCTGTCTGGAACTGTAATGGTGCTGTGCTTGTCAACAGTGAAACGCACAAACGAAAAGAATTACTTCTTCCTCAGCTGTCTCCCACATTCCAGTGCTGCAACTCCCCTAGTTAAATGCAGATATGTTTGTGTATGCCCTGGTCAAAATACATTGTGTTTATATATTCGTACACACACACACACACACACACACACACTCTTACCTTATCAGAGGGTCAGTTCTGACAGAAGAGTTAAGATGCCTGAAAGTCAGCTTGCATAACGCTTCCAGCTCCCGGGAGGGGAATGGGGCCCCAAACTAGGCAGCACCTCTGCTCCCACCTCTGCTCCCTGCCCAGAGGGGATGGCTGAGCCCCTCCGCATGGGCTCCCGCACAGCAAGCAGCGAAGCAGGGAGCTGCCCCGTGCCATCACAGTGAGAACCCAGCTGCTTAAGCTAACCGGTAAGGATGGTCCTAAGGATAGCAGCGTCGATTCCCATCCTTAAATACTTCCTTTGGGCCTGCAAGGAAGCATCTCCTGTCCCTTTGGCATGTACTATCTGATGCAAAAAAATGAGCACGGCATTTTTGCTTTAAAGTGGTAGTGTCTATTTTTTACATCATAAGCATGTGGTCAAAGCATTCATCTAGTATGTGTGATAACTGCCTTCAGCGCTCTTGTGAGTTGACTCAACCTCAGACCTCCCACTTCACCAAAACTTGCCTAGTCTATCACGCTATGGCTATTCAAAGGTTTAAGGCAAGGAGGAAGTTTGAGAGAGGAAGGCTGAAAAGAACTATCCATATCCAATATGGTGTGCATCAGCTTTGACAATCCAGTGTCTCCAAAGGGAAGGGGGGAATGTATATGCCCAGACATCATACATGAAGAGCCAAAGGAAAAAAATGTCAGTTGTCTATCTCATCTGATACTGAATATACCCTGAAGGATGGCCACAGAATAGCTACGTCGTCTTTGACTTGAGTAAGCAATTTAGGAATGTCCATAAATGGTTGCTGAAAGTAAACTTAGAAAAAAAAATGTAAATGTTAATGCTGAACAGATACAGATCTGGATGAAAGAAATTCTAAAAGTATGTTAATTTGAAGTCTTGGTTTGAGACTTGTACAGGTCCTTTAACATGTAGCTAGAATAAATCCACCACCACCACTTTTTTTATTAATTATACATTGTATATTGTTGCATAGCTTAGATGTAAATAAGAACCTGAAGGGTTTTCATTATTTCAGACTCTTTGCTGAACAGATCTATTAAGATTTACAAGGATCTTATACCTAATGAAAAGACGTAAGTGTCAGCCATACATAAAACCAACCCCTTGCTCAAAATTAGTCTTGGTTTCAAGATCTGATGTATTAAATTACAGCATCAAGTAGGACTGGAAATTTCACACTGCCATTTTAAGTGAACCTCTTTCGACCCAATTTCTTCTGAAGCTTACCCTGAGAACATTTAATGGAAAAAAAGACGATTACTCTGTTTATAGGATGGGAGACCAATGTCTATGAAAAGTACTCTATGAACTGTTCTCAGGAGAGGGATATATCTGAATGATTTAATGGTCTTCTTGAGCTAAGCTAGTATTTTAATTTTAGAATCTACCCCCAACAAGATTAAATCTGGCATGAATTAGGTCATCAAAATATGAGTTC